ATATGTGTATATATATATGTACAAATAACTCTCAGTCAAATATGATCTATCAATCAAAATTAACACTGCAACAAAAACAGGCCCCAGCTTGCTCCTGAGGGTGCAAAAATTCACATTAATGAGCTCAGCAGAAGGTAATAATGTTTTTAAATATATTTCATTCTTCTCAAACATTCATTTTTCTGTTTGTAGAACTTCTGCACTTGTATTACTACTTATATTGGTTATGCACTATACATTTCTTACTGTTTTTAGTGTTCTTCAATTTTCTTAAATATAATTTCTTAATAAAACAGTAGAAAAATACAGAATTTCACTGTCTTCGTTTTGATTTGCTTTTGACGTTTTTTTGAGGGAGGTGGGAGTGATGGAGTTGATTTTTGGCAATGTGTTACAGACTTCGGGAAGGTTATAAGGTGAAAGACAAAAGATACGCTGAATTTATTGGGGAAATACCACCTACTGTAACAAATTGACACAAAAATGTACAGTGACTTCACATAATAGATATTTACTTCTTATCGATGCCAATTATCCTGAGCTGTTCTGGGTGGGCAGAAAAGGATGGGTTTGGGGAGCTGTGCTCCACCCAGTCATTCAGGGATCGAGGTTGATGGAAGCTGATATTTTCAAAACATGACACCTAAGGTAGCTCCATTGTTTCCAGACTACAAGTGGAAGAGAATACAGTGGACAACACTCATCACTTCTTCAGATCCTTAGCTCAAAAGTGACACAGCTTAGTTCCCCTCACTTTCCATTGGTTAGAAGTAGTCACATGGCCCAACCTAGATGCATGGGGAGCTGGGACATGTAGTTGGTAACTGGCAGATCTTTCCCAACAATTCTCTACCATAAAAGGCAAAAGCACGAATGTTGGTGCATGGCTGGAGCTACCTTAAGGTCATGCGAATCTTTCATGGGGTGGAGCTTCAGGGATAGAAGTTGAGAAGACTGATTAGAGATGGAAGGAGCGGTCTTCTACACACTGTAGTAGGAAATGTGATTCCTGGTGTTTGACTACAATCCTTACTGTTCCCAGGGCTGGGGTGTGCAGAGGGCAAGGAGGGGGAGCGATGGGCTCAGGGAGGGAGAGGATAAAACGAGGTGCTTTTGCATTATCTCTTGTTTTCACCAACGGTACAGATAAGACTTGGCTGGGATTCCCTTATTTCTCATACATTAACTCTCTCCTATCCCTTAAAGAAACAATTTTTTCTAATACTCTTGAGATGTTCTCATTTGAACTAAACGGGTAGTTTTGACTGGTTTTTAAAATGTTGCATGTCATTCTGGACATCTAAGACATGTAAGAAATAGAAACATAATTCAAATTATTGTAAAAGGGTCTGGGACATGGTAATCCTAGATAATCTGGAGAAAATTTTCTTCATATGGTTTAAACGACATCACGTGTCTTGCTCGGTATCCATTTTGATGTCCTTCCAGCCTGGCTTTCTGTACAACAGAGGCTGCATTAAAAATTACATTTCCCAGAATACCTTACATCTGAGATCTGGATATTGCAACAATTAGATCCACCCTTGAGAGATAAGGGGTGGAATTCACCTTCCTGTTACCTTTGTCTCTTACTGCAGAGGAAGATTGAGGGGTGTTGAGTTTTCTGCACACAGAGATGTTCCTGGGTCCAGATAGCAGTTTCACAGAAGTTAAGAAGCAGTTGCAGTGGCAGCAGAAGTCAAGTTCAGTGTTGCGGGATCTAGTCACTGGCCTTGAGGGCGTGTAGGGGCAGGAGTAGCCACAGTGGTAGTGACTTCCTGGATCGTAGCTGCAGTTGTGTATGCTTGAACTTGTCCATTCCAGAGGTGGCTTCTTGATTTCCCTGCCTTTGGACTACCACGAGGGCAGTACCTCACCTGGGTCATTCAGTATCCAACAGGCAGTCCTGGGGGCCAGCCTAGACCCTGCTCCTCCAGTCTTCCCCTTCCCACCGATTTTGTATATGCAATTTCTCAATTATATCTCTTCCTGATTAGCATAGCTAGAAGAGTTTTGGTTTTCTGCAACTTACACCGGTACAGAAAATACCCTTCTGACCATCCTTTTGTCTCAAATTCTAGCCATTCGCCAAAGCCGAGAGGCATCCTAGCTCCCTGCCCATCTTGATAGAATCCTTCCCCCCACCCACCCCCGAACTCCTTTTGCTGTTTTAGTGTGGTATGTGACAAGTTATTTGTATCCTTTTTCTATCCTTGGTTTGAGTACTTTTCAGTTTTCCAGTTTTTGAAATCTTGAAATCTATTTTTTGGGAAAAAAAAAAAAAGAAAGAAATCTTCTTCAAGTAGTATAAAAGGGATAACTTATTATAAGAATACAGAAGCATCTCACAGAAAACAAGTCAGGACCTGCAGCCAGTCTCCATGGGGTGGAAATCGTGAAGGGGAAAGCTTCTGAGAAACAAGGCAGCTGCCCTTTCTCTCCCTCGCCCTAAAACTGCATGGTCTCTCACTTCTGTCCACACATCTGTGTCTTCTCCTGCTCCTCCTACTCCCTTTTTCGCAGGCTGGTTTTGTTTCCCCTAGCATAGCTCATTAATTTATATGGTATGGTAGAGACTGCAGGTTGCCTGCCCAGTACCGTCTGTCTTCTACCTTCTGCCCCCAATTTTAACCAGGCACAAATCACTTAAAATACATACTACATTCTTCCCAGACTCCATTGCAGTTAAGTATTGTCACATGGCTACATTCTAACCAATGAGATGGCTCCTTAAAAAAAGAAAGCGGGCCTTTCTCTTCCTTTATGCTTCTGAGTAGAGAGCAGATATTGTGGTTGGAGCGCTGTCCACCATGTTTTGATCATTAGGGTGAAGAGATTAGAGAAACGGTGGATCCATGAGCTGGAAGGATCCTTGAGGAAGTAGAGCTATCATTCAGATTCTTGAGTACCTATCTCCAGAGTTCTTGTGTGGGAAGAACTAAATTTCTATCATCTTATTTAAGCCATTTCTATTTTGAATTTCTTTTCATATACTACTAAAGCCTAATCCTAACTGATACACATGTCTTCCTACTTCACGCATAACAGAGAGAATAACTAGCGTCTCTTTTCAATTCTAAGCTCCAGGTAGAAATTGGAAGAGCTGAGCTTTTATATCTACTTGCATTCCAATTAGGTACAGCCAGGGAGCAGAGATTCACAGTACAAATGAGAGACAGAAGTACCACTCACTCAAGTTGTAGGGGTTGTTTTTACAGAAGAAGACATGTGGGTTTGAAAGACACCTCAAAAATTGTCTACCATGCTCCTTCTCTTCAGTTATAAGCTAATTCTATTTTTAGCTTTATCCTTACATATCTTCCCCTTCATAAAGTACAGACGACACGTCTACATTTTTACACAATTCTTCAGATATTTTAGTCCCAAGTGTAAGGAGTACCCAGCAGTAATAAGTTCTATTATGATCACTGACGATGCATGCTAATTACTAGTATTGATTTTCCAGCAAACAGCCTAGAAATCAGACTCTAGATCTTCATAGTCAACCAGTACAGGTCCCTGTGAATAAACCAATACCTAAACAGTTCTTTAATTCAACACCTGATGAAGACAAGAAAAGGATTTGAAATTACAGAGCCCACGATCTAAAATAGGTGACTATCTCTTCATATGCAGTCAATTCAGTAATAAACATATAATTTATTTGTGTAATATTATAAACTACATAATCATCTAATTTGTATAACTCCCATGCAGAAGTATACGAATCATAAGACAGAAGTATCTCCCTGCTCTCAGCCCCACTGTAGTGTAGAGCTCTGTAGTGATGTTCTTTCAGTCACTTTTAGTGTTTTGTGTGCTCTGGTGATGGGTAGGGTATTTTTAATCCATTTGGTACATACAGTCATTTTCTGCTTGGAGCCCACATGAGAGCTAATGTTTCAGTGTCTGTTACCAGGCACACCCAGTGTAAGATGTTTAATATGTCCTCCTGCTTCTGTAGGATGGTGTATAAGCCCATTATACCTGAGCTTATGGCCTCCACTTCATGAATGACTAATTTGGCCAATAAAATGTGAACAGGAGTGATGAGGATCTCTTCTGGACAGAAATGTTAAGACTCAGTATGTGGCTCGGCTCATCACATCTTTTTACTCTGCCTCTGCTATTGTTGAAGCCTGGTTAGAGATGCTTGGTACCTCTGTCAGTCTGGATCTCTCAGTAATTACCATGAGAAAAGCTCCCTTGTCATCCTTGATGGACGATTAGCATAAGAGAGAACTTTCGTATTTTAAAAGCCTATTCTAATTGTTCTTGAGAAGCTAGGAAGACAATAGGGAATCTTGGTGCAGAAATGTACTGTATGGGACCAACCAAGTGCTTAAGGTTCCAAGAGAATAAAACGTGATGCTCTCTCCTCTGGTTTTTCTCTGATTCCCATGCTTCATTCTGGTTTCCATATTTGAACACTGAAGTCAGGTAGCATTAATCAAACCTCCACGATTTTGTGTATGCCCTAAAATTTTGACTAATCAGGAACATTTTCAGCACAAGAAATATTTTTCTTTTAATCTCATATCTGTTCATTTTCTTATTGAACAATTTCAAAACCAGGAACTTCTATAGCTGATAATAATGTCAATACGACAGGAAAAAAAAAACAGTTTATATTAACTGTGTATTCCTGTTTTCAATTTTTATAAGATATACTATTAATATATGTTAGAGGAGCATTTCTTAACCCCTCTTTTTTTGGGGGTTTCAGCTGCCTAGTTTCACGCATAAATTTATCTAACAGAAACTCTAGATTTTTTTTCCCGCCTTCCTTTCCTTATCCCGTCGTTATATACAGTTACTCTTACTTCCTTTAACTGTCTTCACGATAATGTCCTTCCCTGTTGGACTTTGAACTACTTCCCGAAAATAATTTTTCATAAACACTAAACATTAACCAGGCTGGAAGGCTCAGGATAAAAGGCAAGACAGTGCCACACGAACAGCCACTTTGACAGCATTTCTAACTGAACCAGGGGGTGACCATGACCTGCTGTGAAGGATGGACCGCCTGCAATGGATTCAGCCTGCTGATTCTACTCTTTTTGGGAGTAGTTTTCAACTTAATACCTATAGTTATGGAAGCAGTTGAAGACCAATCTTTTCAAAACCCCATCTCTTGCTTTGAGTGGTGGTACCCAGGAATTATAGGAGCAGGTGTGATGGTGAGTACCATTTGGTTTGATGTGGAGATCTGCCTATTTTACCCAACTCTTAAAGACCACCTTTCAACCTTACAGCTATGTCTTGACTTAGGATACAGTGAGGAGTGGTGGTATGATATTCGTTTATCTTGGTTATCAGTAAGGAATGACAATTTAAACAAATTAAATATGTAGTATAGGCTAGGGAGCTTGAGCAAAAAAAAAAAAATTAAATTGATAAAAGTTGGTTGGGTTATTACCTATCACATTTCTTCGCATGTAGGGCTGCTCTTCCAAGTTCTTTAGTGTTAGGGATCTTTTGAATTCATTCTCTCAACTTTCCTTTGCCAATACCACTCTCAAGGTATTCGCAGGAGATACAGTAGGAGTGGGAAGTGGTCAATAGGAATAAGAAGAAACATGTCATGCACAATGACTGTCCTGGATGGTAATCATGCTACATGAACATGGCATGGCCTACACCAAAGGGAATTAGAACCTAAAACCTTGGCTCTCTGACCTCAGGGACTTTTGACTCAGACGTTACATACAGCCCAGAACATCATAGTGCTTGTTTTATGTTAATTTTATGAATTGGTCTATGTCGATAACTGCAGCAGAGCAGTGTAACATAGAAATACCCAATGGACCTGATCATTGAATCACTTGTCACAGATTTATAGACCTTCTCCTGGGAATTCTGATACAGTAGGACTCACTTGTGTAGAGGAATAAATATTGTTTTTGGATCGGGTAGAATATCTCAGCTTTAGTTCTGTCTCCAATATATTATTGCAAATCATTTATTCTATAATTCTGTTTCTATATTTGTAAAATGGGATGTGGGTACTGAAGTTTAAATATTCAGCATTCGAGAGGCTTGTTTTTGTTTGTTTTTCTACTTGGGTGCTAGCTAAGGGGTTCTGGTTAATGCCAGAGAAATGAGCCTTTGTTTAGGGGGGGGTGTGTGTGTGTGTGTGTGTGGGCGCGCGCGCGCGCGCGCATGCATACACACGTGTGACAGTTCAACGACCGATATTATCAAAGTGTTCTAGAGATGCTGAAAGAAACGTAGAGATTTTTTTTTTTTTTTTAATCCCGGATACTGTTTCCTACCTGCATCACTAATCCTTAATGATGATCGATTACTGCTCCTGATCTTATTCAGGACTTTCATGAAAACACTCTTGAGTCATGATATATTAAAGATTAGATAAATATTTGTCCTTTGGCTGGCACACTGAACTCGAGACCACTCTAGCATCAAAAAGCCATTCCAAGAAGCATTCCACAATAGTTGATGGTGTCTTTTCCTTTAACATCACAAGCAATCTATTCACCCTACGTTAGGTAGAAAGAGATACTTAAATAAGGAAAAGCTTTTTTGGAAAGTTGTGGGCTATTTTTTTAAATTGTCATGAAAGCTCTCTCCAGGCTGAGAGAAAGCACAGTGGTGAACCAAATGATGCAACTGCAAATCTCTGCGTTTGTAGAAGCATCTCTCTACTTGAATAGTGTAAGCTTCCTTTGCATTGCCTGAGACCAGAAGCCAGGAGCAGCTGGCCAAGTCTAATCAACAATGGCAGTTTCCATGAAGATCTTAAAAGTTCCCAAGCTGAAACAATCCATATAGAATAACTCGTATAGCTTTAGATATAAATTGGCTCTACCGCAAACACCATCACCATTAAAAAAAACAAAACAAAACAATTTATTGGTAGCATTAAAGGAGCCGGAGGTGATGAGGGCAAAATGTATTCTTCTTTTGGGGACCCGGGGATGGAGAGGTGGGAGGATAAAGACACAGAGAGAGACCACTGCTAAGTGCCAACTAATGGGTTCATAGTTTACACTGTTATTTCACCTCTATAATAATCTGGCTGAGCACATATTATCATTTGTATTTTAAAAGACCAGCAAACAGAAGTTTAGGAAAGTTAACAAGGTTACATCGTAGGTATAAAAGTCAATTCTGTATTTATCTGACTCCGAAGTTCTGTTTTCCACCAGGGCTAGCACCGTAGCCCACGATCTGTTTCAGGCTGACAGAGGGGAAGTGTATAATTCATAACCTAACCCAGAAACTTAAGTGACTAAGAAACTGAAGCATACAAAAGTTATATAAGTCTATGCAACAGTTTCAGAGAATCTGGACTTCCTTGTTCCATGACTAAATTTATCTTCCTCAATAAATATTAACGAATAAATATTATCGCACCAGGTTATCTCTATTACTCAGTATGGTAGACGGTCATCAAAGTATCCAGTAACTCTTTAAAAAGTTCAATAGGCACTTCATAAATTGAGCCTCGAACTCTAGGCTAGCAGGCAAACAGATAAGTGATAGAAAGGTGTATTTTCATGGTCTTTAGCTACATATTGAATGTGGAAGAATATTTTTTCGCAGGGAATTTTGTCCCTTCCAACATAGTTCAAAATATTGAACTCTCAATATACTTGTAAATATGCAGAAAAGTTAATAAAGAAGAAATCACTGCCTGTGATAAGGACTGTTGTCATAATTCTTAAAATCTTTCCAAAATGGCTGTAACGTTTTTAAGTAGTATTGATTCAAAAACAGATTTTGCAGGAAGTAGCGACTTATAAAAACTATGGAATTAATTATTGATTACTTCATAAAGTATCTTCATTTTATGGTTTGATGACTTACCCAAAACAGCGATGAACCCATTATATTTGGACTCCATGACAAAGAGCAAAAGTATTATGGAATTAATTATCTTCAACTATTGTCTGCTAAATGAAAAAAATCAATACTTTTCCAAGTACCTAAAAGAGACTTGAAATGTTTCTTCCAAATAAATATTAAGGCCGTTTTATATGTGATTAATTAGAAGCTCAACCTTAATTATGCTTATTCATTGAGTTCACTTATTATACAGCAATTCATCGATTATTAAAGTCTTAATACAGAACGAGTTGTTAAATGTTGAACAAATTAGAAGATACTTGTATAACAAGCATTTGCAAAATGTAGTTTTTATATTTATGATGAGCTATGGCTTCGTATTATGCTCAGGTTCAAGTTCTTAATGTTTGAATTCTATCATGGAGTTGTAATAGTCTACAGCTCTTCTGTGCTTCATTAGTAAAATCATGTACCTTCCTTCTAAAACAGAATAAAAGTATGGGTTTCCGTAAGGGAAAATGAACAATACCACTTCTTTTCTTTATGAATACAAACTACTATCAAGATCGTTCAAATGTGCTTAGGAATTGAAGAGAATGAGTATTCTCAGAATTACTCATTTTGACACATCGTCTGGAAGATTTATAATTCAGTCACACATACACCTACACACTTTCACATTTTAATGTCCAGCCTGTAAAGAGTCTCTCTAATTTCCAAGGCTTTGAATGGGCAAAACGGTTGAAATATAATGAGTTATCATTACCCATCATGACATAACAAAGATGTGTTAACATACCGTGTAGACAACTGAGTGAGGATCCGCATGCTATAAGTTACTGTCACTTCCTGTTCTGAATGATTTGTTTCTTTAGCTCAGAAGGTAGTACAGCTTATGAGTACAACAGAAGAAGGTTAGTCCATGAACACTGACACCTATTTGGGACCTAAAAAATCTTTCTCCCTTTTCTTCTGGGTTCTTAGCCAAGAGTCTGCCCAGGAATGGCTGGGCTGCCAAATGTACATGTGGCATCTGAATTATAAGGGTGTTGGAGTTCGAGGCAGTAGGTAAACCAAGTGTTCCCCACAAGTGACGTGGAGTCAGCCATGGTCAGAGTGGGTGAAGTTTGTCAGGAAAGTTCCTCGTAAGGTATTACATGTTGACCTGCTCTGAAAGAACACAGGTCTCGGAACAAAGGAATCAGGGAAGGAGCAAAGGACAATAGGATGCGCGAGGGTGGTGGAAGGATGATCATGAACAAGCGCTATGAAGAAATCGAGTAGAATTATAAGAGTTGGCAAGTGTGGGCCAGTGCTTAAGAGTCTGAGTTTTGGGAACCAAACGCCTAGTTTTGAATCCCAACCCTTCCATTTGCTCAGAGAAATTCCTCGAACTTTCTGTGCCTTTGTTTTCTCATTGTAAAATGGGGATGATAACAATCCTAGGATGGTTATAAGGCTGGAATAAACTAAAACGTGTACAGCACCTGGGACGGTGCCTGGCATGGTGTTAGAACTCAAGAAAACGTTAGCGAAGAAGAACAAAAGGAAAGAGAGAAGCACTCGAAGGCCACTGTGCTGAGGTGGCAAAAAAAAAAAAAAAACCTTACGGCTAAAACTTCTTAAGTGGGAGGAAGTTATTTACATTCCACTCTTCGATGATACAAAATTTCTCCCAGTAAGAATTTCTAGTCATAGCTGCTGACGAGATATGACTAAAACTATCACCCTGAGCCCCGAGAATGCGATGTAATTTCTTACAGCTTTCCTCAGCAATATGCATTTCCCTCGACACAGGATGCGATAAACACGAGATTTCTGAACATTGACATAAAGAGAGCTCGTCACATATCGTGGATAAAGGAGCAGAAGGGAGAATGTGGAACTAACATAACTCTCGGACCCTGAGTTGGGGACCTAGTGAGATGGTGGTGACTCTGGGGGCGAGAGGAAAGTTAGGGAGGTGGGGAGAAGCGGTGAGAGGATTCTGACTTCCCAAATGCCAGGAAACAAACACATCGGTTTCCTTTCTGGACGCTTGTCAGATGAATTCAGACAAATCTGGGGAAATCGGATAAGTGGCTGCAGATTATAGGAACTAATAAAAAAGAAAAGCGAATTTTAGATGGTGCAACCAATTCTTCCAGAAACATTCCTTCCGAAATAATGAATAAATAGCTCATTCTATTTAAAATTCAAGTTCCTCTAAAGATGACTCAGAGTAAAGTAACGTAGATCAAAGAGTTTGAAGGGACTCTCCTGAAATCCCCGCTGCTCCCCACTCTTTTATCTTTATGGATGAAATGGGGGGTCACAAGGTCCCCGAGATAAGAGCATGGGCAGATTTCCTTCTTGTTCTCTTGAGCCTCGATTTCCCACAGCTGGTGGTAAACGAAAGGCAGAGATTACTGCTTTTTCATCTGATGACAAGTACTAATACTTCTCTTTCCTGTTGATGTAATTTCCAGGTCATTCCAGCAACGACAATGTCCTTGGCAGCAAGGAAAAGAGCATGCTGCAACAACAGGACCGGAGTGAGTATGGTTACCTGGGTCTGGGAGCAGAAGTGTGTAAACAGTTGTTGACACCTAAGCCAAGCCACCCGGTTATCGGTAGCTGCCACATCCTCTTACGGTTTCAATGGCAGGACTACCATCTTAGAAACATGCTATTTAGAATGATTACAGGATAATATCGAAAGTGTGAAGTTTTTTTTTTTTTTAAATAAAAATATAGCTTTGAACCCAGCCTCAGACATTTCCTCAATCTTCAGCTTCACCGCTCTAAAGGTTTTCAAAGAGCTGTCAGGGTATTCAGAGCTGTCATCAGTTTCCTAATACTAAAACACTTGTTACTTTTATGGTGCCTATACGATACTTAGGGAAAATGTATCATCAGTTCTCTCCTGCATACGAAACATTGGTTTGCTAGGCTCCCAGTGAAAATTGCTCTCATCCAGTTAAAGGGGACACCAGTTGTATTTTCAAACATTTAGTTCATACCTACAATGAATAAGATTTTAACTTAAGTGAAAAGTAAAGGAAATGCTTATTAACCTTCAATAACTATGCTCAGAACACTTTCAAATATGCTATCTTATTTAATTCTCTCAAAACTATAAGTGAGAAATACTGTGATCTCTGTTTTTCTGACCGAGAAACGGATCTTCAGAGAAAGGACTTAACTTGCCAGCGTAGCACAGACAGTAAGTGGGTTTTTATCTGAATCGTTCAGACTCCACGATTCACAATCCTTACACTATTTATGCCGTGAACATTGTTATTAATAATCCTCTAATGAAGGGGGCAGATCGATAAACAACAGTCACAGTAAAAATTCCTGGCCAAGCCTGAGCTTTTAAAGCAACGGTTCTCAGCCTGATGGGAACATTAGAATCACTTGGGAAAATCTTAAAATTACCAAAGATTCTTCATCGGTATTTTTCAAAAGCACCCTAGGGATTCTAATGTGCTCCCAGAGGTGATAAAAACTATTTAAAAGGGTACATATTTATTTCCATATTACACATTTATATCCATGACAGTTAGAAAATCGATATTTAAAAAAGTACCTTTTTCTGACATTTGATACTTACGTGGGATTATAATTACTTTGCTAATTACTTATAGTCTACCTTTGTTTATGACACATTCATTGTAGGTATCGAATAAACATTAGTTTCAGTTTCCTCTCCCCGTCATTTTTCTTTTTAAACTATCATAATTTGGAGTCCGACTTTACATTACCTCTATATCGTATTTACGACATTTGTGAGAAAAGTATCCTGAGATATTTCTGAATCCCTAAACTCAAAAATCACAGAATACTTATATGCGCTTTTCTCTCAAATCATATTTCCATTAAGAATCTTTTCCCCCTGGCCATATCCCTTCATGACAAATGGTTCATCTTTTCAATGATCATTTAATTTTTCTTTCCTTCGAGGACACAGATGAAAATAACTGAATCACTTTTTCATGCAAGTGTTGGGCTTAAGTCACCAGGAGGTTTTGCTCCGCCATACTAACCTTGAAGATAATTGGAACTCAGGCTTCAGCGACATTAGATTATTACATACCGAGGAGCCGCCTCCTGGAGTGCCAGGGACGGGGGACACTGTAGAATACTGCTATTAATAGTAGCGTTGCTAACTAATCAAAATCATCAGCTTATATTGATTAGGTGCAATTAATCAATTAGCCACTTTTCTTACTTGGAGGCGGCCATGCGAGGACTAAGGTTTAAGTCAGACCCCATATCTTTCAAGCACAGATAAGACCAAAGCATCCTAAAAGTTACCAAGGCTAGATCTTGGGAGGGTTGGCAAGAGGTCGTCACATAGGCTTACCCCCCGTTTTAACTGTGTCCCACTATTTCCCCTACTTTAACCGTGCCTTGTTCCTCTGTTCATCTAATTACTGATCTGGTTTATGAACGCTTCAATTTCGCTGAGTTATTCAAGTGAAGCCCCACACTCTAAGGGAAATACAGATCTTGAAATCACTTTCCGAAGCCGGGCCCCTCCACAGTGATGAGGTCAAGAATAGATGACCGAAATCTAAGCGTAGTGGCGCTGCTTGATGAACAAATTTAGATGACCTGTACAGGACCGTGCCCGATCCCGTCTGATTTCAGAAGTAGCGGCAAGACCAATAATCTTTTAGTGAGTCTAATCAAATGGCAGCGACTTTGTCCTCTGTCTTTTACAATTCACACCTAATCAAATTAGGATCGTAAGAGCTACGACTATAAGGTGAATGGCAGCAGTGGATTCAAAAGACTGCGTATGCTGCTGAAACTCGAAACAGACCAAAAACATGTAGTAACATGTGCGAATGCACCTGCTTTATCTTCCAGATGTTGCTTTCATCTTTCTTGAATATATTCACAATCATTGGTGCCGTGTATTGCATGCTGGTGTCTCTCCGGGCTCTCTCCGAAGGTCCTCTCATTTGTAGCTCTCACGGCAACAGCACTACCAGTTGTGAATTTTCATTTAAAAACTTACGGTGAGTAACCTGACTTTCACTGCTTATCTTACACAGCAGCGGCTAATTATATTAGAATATGGTAGTGTTGACGTAGTGCCATGTTTTTTCTTTTGATGAAACTACTGGAGCAGATTCTCAGGGATGTAGCACATTAATTCCAATGGGCACAATCTCATGAACATGGAGCTATCACTACATTTAGAATGCATTGGGTATGTTCTTGTCTAAAGGAAGTAACTGACTCAGATGGCTTATCCTTGTCTTTCAAAATGGCTGCATACATGCACATGTATAAAAAAATTCTCTAAGTACATACCGGAAACTTGACTTTCCTCCTTGGAGAAGGGAAATGGAGGACACCGTGTGGAGAGTATGGGAGCACTGACTTTCTACACTTCTGAACTGTGTAAGCCCTAAGCATAGATCACCTTTATACTTTAGAAACGCGAATAGAAACACAATAAAATTTAGAGCCTTACCTGTGAGCCCTAAAAGAAACCAAGCAGCCAACAGATTCATGCAGACATCGTATAAATAGATGGTAGGCATAAGAATGAACCAAATGTTTAAGTCATGTGGTAACAAATAATACTGGAAAGTTACAAGTAAATAGTTTCAATCTTGTAAGACAGTTGTGCCTGCATCTGAGCACAATTTGTAAAACTGGAAGAAAAGAACAATTTACTAGCTATCTTTATGTTGCTCGGGCTGGAAAATAACCAGATCCTCCCCCTTTTCTCTTATCTTGCTACATTAAAAAAAAAAGAAAACTCTCAAAAATACCATACCACAGTTAAAATGAATCAAAACCCAAAGAAAACTCCCTTTACCAACAGATCTGATATATAAAATTAGAGCTTTCAACCACAGATGCTACGTGCATTCATTCCTCAGCAGATGATGACTCAACACGTATCGGGCACCAGGCTCAGCTCTGGAGAAAATGGCACTCGAGGCTTCCCCACTCTGGCTGGGGTGACAGTTACAGAGAGTAAACAGAGAAGTGACAGGGGCCCTGGGTGTGCTGCACACTGCAGAAAGCACGCTCATCTTCCTTCCACGTGCTGGAACACTGGTGTTTTCCCCGGCTGGATGTCAGTTGCTCGAATCTGAAACACACACTCTCCGAGAACACGAGTCCTGTTCTGTCGTAAACCGAAGAAAAATCATCTCAGGATACATGTGTTAGGCTAAAAGTTTCTCATTTTCCATGCGTCGTTACGAGGGGCACCAGTCACTTTCATCGGAACATAGTCAACACGTCTTTTCTGAGTCAACTTTGTACATCTGGTTTAAGAGCCAATGTAACACCATGGGTTGGCATCGAGCTCCTTGATCTCGGTATCTTTAGCAAGTAGAAAAGCGTCTGCTTAAATAGGTTGAATGACACGCAATCGATCATCAACCATTTTTGACAGACAATTTTGTATGGTTCAACCTAAGAGCAAGCACTATAGAAATATCTGTTGGATGATGGGATACAAGATGAACACAAAGTTTTATAGCTATTCGAGTACATGGACACGTGCTCAGAAACCCTGACCTTAGCTGTTAAATTTCTGGGCACAGTATTTCAAAAGTACTTCGTTTTATACTATTCTTGTCCCTTTCTGGGCACAGTATTGCATCCTTCTGATGGCCGGTGATATTCCTGAATATCTTCTTTCTTTCATTTTTCAGTGACATTCATCCAGAATCCTTCGATTTACAGTGGTTCCTAAATGAATCTTGCATATCTCCTGAAGGTACCAACTATTCCACCGTAAATAATGACACCAGGGGCAGCGGCTGGGGAACATCATCAGTGGCTGACTTAAACTTCAATTTGGACTTGAATTCTAAACAAGGCAGATATAGGACTGTCCATTTCTCGGTGTTCTTAGGTCTACTGCTGGTGGGAATTCTCGAGCTCCTGTTTGGGCTGAGTCAGACAGTCATCGGTTTCCTGGGCTGTCTGTGTGGAGTCTCTAAGAGAAGAAGCCAAATTGTGTAGTTTAACGGTAATAAAGTGGAACACTTAGTAGTCTGAATCATTCGTGAATGACACTTACGAGATACTCTTCTAGAAGTTAGAAGTTCAGTAATGGAACATTACCTAAAAAGCTGTAGGAATCATTTTAGTCCATAGGGTTGTCTTTAAAGTCACCTTTAAGGTGATTTAAAAAAATATCAAACTTTTACATAGAAAGCATGTTGGTAAATACATAATACTTTCATACGGAAAAGGAAGCATCATCAGTGGCTGACTTCAGGGAACGGTGGAGTGAAGCTTTCAATTTTTGTCCCTTTCTGTGCTATTTGAATTTTCCTGTGTGTGGAGTGGAGATGGCAGACAGGGAAGGAGAGGGGACAGGAAGGAACAAAAGGGATCCCGGAAATGAAAGCCTGGGACTTCTTTCTACTCTAAGGACGAATAACAAACATATCAACTGAAAACGTATCAAGTTTGCAGACTGAATTCCTACCTTCCAGAAATGCCAGGGAAAAAAAAACAAATTCTAAAGGGAGGACAGTAAACAAGACAATAGCCCTCTGTTTTCCATAAGAAAACATACAGGAAAGATAAAAGGTGGGATGGGTTGAGGTAACCATTCTAGCCTAAGAGAACACGGGGATATGATTCGATTAATGTATTCTGCGGCCCCTGTTGGTATCGCTGGGGAAAACTGTACAAGGATCGATTAAGGGATGTTAAAGACTTACTAATTTTTTATGTCTGATAATGGTTTTATGGTTATACAGAAAAATGTCCTTACTTTTTAGAAATGCACATCTGTTTGGGAGAAAATGTCATGCTTTTAAAATACTTCAGCCAGAAAAATAAAGCAATGGAAAAATTTTAATTGTTACATTTAAGTGACAGGTGATTCATTACACTCTTCTGTTTTCTTCTATTTGCATTTTTTTGTAATAAATAAAAAACAATAAAAACCCAAGAAAAAATCAGCCTTTCAAAAGCTGGTTTCTACGTATGACAATCTGTAGAAGACAGAATAACAAGTGTATTTACCACATTAAAATGTTATATAACAGACAAAACTAAAAACCTACAATTTTCTTAATGTGATCATTCCTGCACTTTAATTATGTTCACTGGGCTTAAGGTTCTAGAGAAAAACTTATATTGTAGCTGCCCTTCAAAATTAGTAAAATCAAGAACTTAAAGGCATTTTTTTTCTGAATCCATTTGTATAAAGACCTTCTCCTTACCCTCCTATATCTATTTATCCTTAAAGTTTAGCTTAAATTTCTACCAGAGAAGCCTTCCCAGAGTACATAATTCCAACAAACTAAGCTAGCACTTACCCAAACTACTATTAGCATACCCGTCACAACGTCACATAAATGTTTCTGCTTGTACGTCCATCACTGTAAGAGATTTATGAGAACAGGGACCGCCACATGCTCCCCACGCATTTATTCATCAGCTCTTTCCTGCTTCAGGGTAGTGAGGCCTCTCCTCTGCCCGGAGCCCCAAGCCCCACCCGTCTAATCTCTGGCTAAGTCTTCAGACTGCAGCACAAATATCGCTTCTTCCAAGAGGCCTTCCCTAACCAATGAAAAGCAGGGTTCCCTTTACTCTGTCCTTTGGCAGTCTTTCATTTACTGTACTGGCCACAGTGGTGACAGCATTTTTATTTGTGCTTGTTTCTTAAATTCCACTCTCCCTCATAAGACCATAATAAGCTCCATGGGCATAGGGATTTTTTTTTTTTTTTAATTTACTCCTGGTATGCTCAGTATGAAGCACAGTGCCTGATACAAAGTAGGGCCATTATAAAGACTTTGTTGAATGAATTGATGAATCCTATCTTTAGTACTCAGCTTTTAGTGAAGACTCAATGCTTAGTCATTGAATGTCACACTGCTAAAAGCCATAAAATGAAAACACAAGTAAAATGAACAGCTTACTTTATGTAACTGACTGAAACAATACAAAGGTCAGTGATGGTACACACGATCTTCTCAGCACCCTAGAAATGGGTATGAGATGACCCCAGTTCCCTACAGGGTCACAAAGAGACAGACTTAAGCCTCCCATTTCACAGGGCCAAAGGAAGGATGGTTTGCAGTAGCACAATGAGCTAGTTGGAATACCTGGTAAGTTCTTTCTTTGCTAGTTTAGTCTTGTGGAAACTATGGCCATGAATTAAATGCCTAAAAGCCTATGGGCCACTTGTGGTTAGATATCTTTTGCAGACATGCGTCTTTGTTCTGGCACGTAAACTTACAATCGCACGTTCGTGTACACACACACACAAATATGCATTTAGCCATTTACAAAGCTCAGTTTTTTTCTCGCCTTCATCCTCATGTTTAATCTTGTTTTGGAATCTTTAGTTTTATTTTTTTACTAATCACTCTCTCCTCTCCTATATTTCAAGTTGCCCTTCCTCAATAATAATTGTTTTATTCCGTCTTCTAATTCTTTAATAAACTTACTCTCCTCCTCCACCATTAATCTGCTAATTCCTGAAGAGTAGGGTTTGCGGCGTACCTGTTGTAACCTCTTAAGTCAGTGCTGTGCACACGAGTCTCTACTCATTGACAGTATGTGTAAGAACATCTGTAACACTGACATTTTAAGTAAAAGAACAGTGACTGACAGTAAATTAAACCTTTTCCAAAATTAAGGCCCAGAAAGAGCTCCATTTCAACATCGAATATAAGCAGTAACATGGACATCCATGCAGGAAAGCTCTGAAAATATACTGCTTGCATAAAATTATCCCTCGAATCACTCACAGAAGAGAATCACTCACAGAAATTTCCTTGTGACATACATGAACCTACAATTAATTACATCATTAGGATATTATAAAAGTCAGAGGACACTCATGTGTATAAAACAAAAGCGAATCTTTAAATACAGTTCTGAACTCAGTGTGACAACATACTTGCTGTACTTAGCTGTATGTCACCACTGAGAGTGTTGGGATGGTCACTGCTCACTGGCCCCGCCTGTGCACCTTTCTCCTGCTGCTCTTTCCTGCATCTGCAATTTTTGCTTCATTCTCTGCTTGTTGAAATCCTATATATTTTTCAAAGCTCAGCTCAAACACCTAAGAAGTATTTCCGGACTATCCTGACCAAGAGTGAACGTGTTCAACTCCAAAACCACGAAGTCCTAGGGAAGGGAGGCAGCCGAACAGAGTGCGGCTTTGGAGTTAGATTTTCAAGCTCTTCTATTTTTAGATTTGTGACAAGGTGAACACGTTTGTCGTTTGTCATCCTCTTTTGAATGGCCAGTTAACTTCTAAATTACCCTTTCACTGAGGAAGTTGTTTTTTGAGGTCCCAGCCTCACGCAGGAGTCTCCTGTCACACAGCTGGTGCCTGCCCAAGACATGGAACTGTGCCCCTGCCCCCCGGCATAACCATCAGGGGGACAGTTCTAAGTTTCCAGTGTTTGCTAAAAATCGACAAGGAGAAAAATAGCTTTTGTTTGCTTATCTTCCGGAATCTCTATTTTTATTTCATTTTTGGCCTTTGTGGACTCCTTTTCAAGCCTGCCCAACCAAACTGGTGTTAATTTTATCTATTATTTTTATCATTTTTGTGCTTTCAATTGGGAGAATCACTCACAGAAATTTCCTTGTGACATACATGAACCTACAATTAATTACATCATTAGGATATTATAAAAGTCAGAGGACACTCATGTGTATAAAAAAAATGATCATCAAACTCATGACAAACTAGGAAGTAAAGGGAAAAGTCCTTTTTTTTTTTTGAAAGATGGGGAGAAACAAGAATAGAATGTTAAATCTGTCTATATCTAGGGTATTTCCCTCAACTGCCTTTCCCAAAACTCACTGCCTTGGTAGAAAGATATTGAAGATGTGTGGAGAAAACTGTAAACTTCACTAATATTCTACCTGTTTTTGAATCAAAAGTAGGAAAAAAAAAAAAAGTTTCAGAACTAAAGGCTTCCAGGACTTGTTTCACTGGTACATTTAATTCTCACAAGACTTAGTATATTAGCTAAATACTACAATGGAAAAAACATACACAACTCAAGGTATTTTCGTCTATACATTATAAATATTACTTATGAGAAAACCACCTGTAACGTGACCAGCGCCTACCACTGTCAGGATGAGGGTCTGACAGGAAGCACAGTGGGTTCTCGCTACCTGTTAATCATAAACTGCACTGCTCACTCCTGAGACAGAAAGACTCAGGTTCAGGTACGGTAACATGATACGGAATGCAGCTCACAGCACAATGTGATGAAACAAAATCTTTCCATAAACAAATATTGCTTTGGTTGACAGTTTATTAAATACACTACATTTGTACCTTATTCTGTTTTTTTTAATCATTCACACATGAACTTATTAAAAACATATTTTATAGAAAACCATCTGTAAAACTAAAATAAAAATGCACATTTTACACACATATTAGGTACACTGCTGAAAACATTAGGAATTTTTTTAATAAAGGTGATCATGAAACATGAGGCGGCTTGATTTCATTAATTTGGACACCAGACCATGACTTCAGGAGTTAATGCTGAAATGTGGCTGGATGCGTGTCTATTAACAAAACTGCTTGATAGTGTTTGAGAAACAGGACAAAATAAAGTATTGCCTTTCTTTTACAGATAGTTTTCTAAATTCATTCTCTACCCCTCTCCCATTCAGAGAATTGTGCAGACTGATGAGGTGAAAAATTAATTCCTTTAAAAAGAACAGACTAGAGCCTATTTACAAAACATGCAAAGGGAGAATTTTAAGTAGGTGTTACTGCAGAACTGTTAAAAGTGAATGCAGCTAAGTGACAGAATATGCCTTCATTTCTCCTTCCTTTCTGAAAGAAATACATTTTCAGGGCATGGACTATAAAACGGCATACAATGCAAACACAGAAACCAAGAAGTTTGCAAATTCTTTATATTTGCAGCTGTTGAGACAGTATTTTCGAGAGCCGAGGGTACCTCTAGCGGCGAAACCAGAGCCAGCTATTAAGCAGCCAGAATGCTACAGTAATTGAATACATGACCATTTCTCTTTTAGCACGTTCTTTGTTCTCTTCTTCTAGAAGTTGTAGACGTCTATTTAGTTTGATTATCTAAATGAAAAGCAAAAAACAACAAAAACAAAATAGAAGCTTTAATGCACGGAGTCATCAGATTCTTATACAGTAGTATGATTTGTCAGAAGAATTATAAACACAGAATGTCTCAGTTGGAGTAAAAGAAACAAAACTATATACAGAAAAATGTTACTCATAAGAGCTCACATTCACTTAAATACTCTTCGGTCTCCCTTCTCCAAGTTTCTGAGTTGGACAGGATGAACTGCCCTTCCTTCCTGCGTGCGGCGGTGAGGTGAGGCAGCTGCTACACGTTGCTACGTGGGAGAAAGGACTAAGCACGCACTTAGGCGGGCTGACCCCAGCGGAAACGGTGAGGGACTCCTGGCCCTTTCTGTGCCCTTCTACGGGTTTTCGTCACTCAGCCTCAGTTTCTCATCTTTAATCTGCTTTAATTTCCTTCCTGTCCACCTCTGACTCACATTGAGGACCCATAAATTAACCTATCGTAGTGGGCCCTGCCACCTGCCACGCAGACCCTTTGGGATGAAAGGCTGACTCCCCAGCTGCTAGTGTCTCTGGTTGACAGCACCGTCCTCGCTGTTAGTTCTCAACTGTGAACAGTCCTGGGCTGGGCGACTGCCTCGCCCAAGGTCATGCTCCATGACTGGGCAGCACGCTCCAGCTCTGCAGGGTGATCGCGGCTTCACAGCTCTTCGTGGGGGTTGGCCACAAACAGCCTATATTCTGACTACAATGCAGTCCAGCATCTCTCTCTCTTTTGCCCGATCCTGCTTCCTTTCCTTCTCCCACAGACGTTAACCTCAAGAACACTCCCCAGTAAACTTTCTACATGCAAATCTTCATACCAGAGCTCGGTTTCCAGGGAATCCAACCTGCCCATCTATGTGAAAACACTACGAGTGCTGTAAAGCATCATGAAGGTACATGGGATTATCATCGTTATGGTAAAGAAACTGAAGGAGGAAAATTCTCATAATGCCAAACCCGTAGTATGCAAGGACTGGGAACTACCAACGGGGGAAAACATCTACTGACACAACGAACACAGCAGTGCAGGTATAACCATTTTAACAACTCAAAAAGTATCTCACTTTCGATCAGTGTTGAGCAACCATTTTTCTGTTACGGCCAATTCAGTGAAAAAGAAAAGCACTTAAAGATAACCTTTGCCCCATTCAAAATGTTTATTTGGTCCCATGAGATACTATGTTCTTGCACAACTGGTTCTACTTTATTGTCAGTGAAAACACTGGCATTGCTTTGAGTCATAAAAATATTTCTATCCGGGCATATCTGAGACGTAGAAACGCCCAGGCAGCTTTTGAATACTGCCCCCGAGAGCGGGTTAAACTTTGTGTCTAGGTGACTCATGAGTTGCTCATCACTAGACTATGGCAGCTCCAGGCTGACAGTCCCCAAACTGGCAACGGAGCAAGGACAGCTGCAGAAGCAGTAGCCTCCATCGCTGCCAGGGTCACAAGTGTGAATTCTGTAGCACCTTCTCGTGATTCAGTTTTTGTTACTTATCTTAGAAACTCAGATTCCCAACTGGCTTTCCACTCCTTTTAAGGTTTCACGGCATGTGTGTGACTCGTTTACAATGACTATATCTTTGTCTGTCCTCGACTGGTTCACCCTCTAAGTTAAGGATTAAATGAATGTTGTTAAAACCCTGAAACTCACATTATACTTTCAGAAAACAAGGTTGTTGGTATAATTGTGAATTCAATAACACAGAAGAAAACTCTTTCTTCCATAAGCAAAGTGTAAGTAAACATATATGTAAGAACTTATGATATAGCTTCCATTTATGTTTCAGTAAATGAGATTAAAAATGAAGAAAGAGTATTTGCTTCATATAATCCTTTTATTCTATTAAATCTTTAAAATAATATTGATTTACTCTTAAAATATTTAGTTTCTTGACTTTTATTTAGAAATATTTTATTTTCAATCATTTCCTCTCCACATCTGTTTGGCACGGACACATTCAGGACACCGAATACGGCTTCCCCACATGTGAGAAGAGGATGTGTGAGTCCATGTTAAAATGCACATGTGCGACTGTAGTTCTAAGTAGGATGTACTACGGAACACGAGGAATACGTATACGAAGACCCTCTGCAAACTGAGAGCAGTTTCCAAAATGGAGTTCTCAGAAATAGTAACGGAGGTCTCAAAGTGACTGTCCTGTGTTTCAAAAAGCCAAGCAAGGAATTTATGGCTTTACTGATTTGCTAAAATGTCAAGATTCTTTGTTATTAGCTAGAATTATGTGAATCCATTTTGGTAATACTGTTTTATGCTGATCAAAACATGTAATGGTGGTTTAATGTACCTTTAATCAAAACAGGAAAATCAATTATGGTTTAATAAATAGTTTGATAGATAAAATATTTCAATTTATGGGTTATATAGGAGAAAATGATAAAATGTTAGGAACTATCACCGTAAACATTATATGAATATCACTTGGGATTATATCTTATTTGGTACATTAAATACCTGTCGTCTTAATGAAGCTGCATCTACAACAGTCATGTCGTCTGAAGTTCCTTCAATTGTTGTATCTGTATTTGAAATGCCATACCTAGCAGATGAGAAAAATTCAACATTAGAAAAGAACTCAGAGTACCTAGCAAGTCCTGTAATACGTTGTGTAATGCTCAAAGAATTGCTCGAAAGATTGGCATTTAACAATATGAATTATCAAAATACTTTACAATCTGAATTGTCACTAATAAAGGAAAGAAAAGAAAAAAGCTTAAGATAATTACTTTCGATTCTGGGAAAGCATCCTAAAACTTTAAGAATGAGAAGAAACCCTGACTAAAGATATAAATAAGGAGATACTTTTCACCTCAGAGGGATGGGCATCGTTAAAAAGGGTCCCTGGCTTAAAAGACTGGAGAGCTGCCCCACTAGGATATAAAAACATACAATTCTTACACAAACCCGTGTCCACGTGTGGTTCCGCAGGAGTCCGCTGAGACTCACTGGCAGGGCACACTAACTTGAGCTAAGTCCTCTCACTGCCTCTTCTCTTGCCGTTTCTACTCTTTACTTCTTATTTCCAATTACTTACTTTCTACTGTGTCTCGCATAGAAGCATTTATAAAAGCACCTGAATATCTTCCCACTACATTCAGATCTGGAATTGGCTCAATAATGAATAATTAACAGGCTGTATATAAAATACTGGAAAGCCAATAAGACAAACTCTAGAGAAAGCATTTTAAAAGTACTTCTTGTTCAAATGCAGTTACTTCTAAAAGGGCAGTGACTTTTAAATGAATGACAATGAACTTCTGAGAAACAAATACACACAAATGCTATTCTTCCTTTTAGCCTGGATTTCCACTTTTTAAATATATTTTAATTAATAGCTTTATTGAGCGACAATTTACATACCACACAATGCATCTAACATGTTTATACCATTACTATTTTAATCCTATATGTTACTTTGGTAAATGGCATACTGACTTTTCTGAATGAGAAGATAAAGAAATTGAATTTAAAAGTTACTCCTACGTAATCACAGAGAATTGGTACACAGATCATATATTCTAATATTTCAAGTGAATCTCCACTATAAAAAGCACATTACTACACAAAGGGGTATGAAGAGAATTATATTTTTCATCCAGATATGTTCAAAACAAATCTATTCAGAAAGTCCTTTTGTTTCAAATACTGGAAATAACCCAAAATATTTTAATCATACAGTGTCATTATTCTGAACACTGATGATAACCAGACAGGTTGCAGTTTAAATAACGGACACTGTGTACTGACTCTAGATCATCTAGAACAATCTCTAAATGTGCCTTTGATGGTTAAATTAACTTGCTTTCTCATTAACTGTCCCTTTCTTCATGGGAACAGAATAAATACCCTGGAATACTGAGAGTAACCACATCAGTTAGAGAAATAAGCTATTAAGTTAGTAGATGCTAGAACTATGGGTTTACAAACATGTGAATTAATTATTCCTTTGAACATTAAGAGAGAATTATTAAATGATTAGTAGAAAAAATGAGGGTCGAAGATGCTTCTTCTCTACATTTTATCCTCAAAATAAAACTTTTCTATTTCTGTGAGGTCACTCATGAGATGAATATTTAGGGGAAAAAAAAAAGCAATACAAACAATTGCTTCAAAGGTAAAATGACCTGCACTGAACGCAGAGAATGAAGTATAACTGAAAGGGATTACTCGCAACTTAAATCTTGAATTAACTAAAGCTTTCGATATCTGTAAAAAAAATCTTCGTGTGTAAATAAATCTAGGGATATGGCAAAAGACTTTATATAATTTAACTTTAAAAAAAAATCACCATGTGTTTTAAACTAAAACCTGTATTTATGAGAACTAAAAACTCTATTAAATGCTAAGACAGATCACTGGCTGAACATACTTTCACAGAGAGATAAAAAGATCACAAACTTATTAGAAGTACATAAGAGAAAACCTAAAATGGATTGAGTTAACTCTGAAAGGAAACAAGTCGGCAGAGTGGTCGGGGGTCTCTAAGGGCATTAATTCCTCTAACCCAACTTAACTGTGAGTGACAAACTGGTTTCTCTCTTCTCCTGCTAAAAATGAATGTGCCAGCTTCCTCTCATCACAAAAGTGCTGCCAGCTTTAAATCTGTTATAGATAATGTAATTCTGCTTAAAACAAACAAAATTGGCTCTGAAAAAAATCACAGTAACGTTATCTGTGAAGACCAACCAAGTTTTTTTTTTCCTCTAGAAGATGGAATATGGGGATTCTGGCACTTGAGAACCTCAAATATTTGTACGTGCCATCCTATCTGTCCCTGTGCGTGAGAGAAGAAATAATTACTCAGGTTAAGCACGAGTGAAAGTGCGAAAGGGGCAAAAATAAGAGAAAAGGTTAAATAGACAGATGACATAAATTCTTAAAACGAAATTCTCTTTATAAATGTTTAATTTCCCCAAACTGGCAATGCTGATTTTCCTGAATTTAAGATGATGCCTTACAGACAGCTTTATCTACAGAATGAAAAAAAAAGAAACAGCGACAGAACTACGGGCAACAATTAAAATGATGCACATAAAACATTTAAGATTTAAGATTATTTTTTCTGTGTTAAGCATGATCGTCTATAACCTATTACAACTGTATCTAAACAAAACATCTCAGATACATGACACTGTATAATTGTTAAGCATTTTTCCTCGTACTCCGGTGGCAAAGGTCACGAACGATTCTCACTATTCTCGGAGAAAAGCAGGATGTACTCACGAGAAAAGCTGTAGAAATCCGAGCTATCATACAAAGGCATGGCTACCATGTGCATTACAGCCTGTGAAACACAGATTCAGTCAACCACTGAGCCTGGTTGCTTACGACGTCTCGACATTTACCTGACGCTGTCGCGATGAGGGTTAGAAGTGGCGGCAGCAGACCCACCACGCAACACAGGTCTAAGGCAGGTGTTTGCGGAAGGCACAGACAGAATCAGGAAACAGAGAAGTAATAAAATAAAAGCAAAAACAAGACAGATAAATGTCAAATAGGATTATATTGTATGCTTCAATACAATATATTTCAAATACTTTATCTTTGTCTCACACGTCCTCCATTTTATGATTTTCATAAATTAAATATTCTTCAATGGGTTAAAAAACAAAGGGAAGGGGAATCTATATTTATGTAATAAAATAGCACCAATATATAAAATAATTTTGGGGAGTGTTTACATTTTAAATTATGAAATTCAAGACGGAGGACAACTGTTTAAAAAGTGTAAATTCTCTTCCAGTTAGAAAAACATCACCATGGACCCTAGAAGCATGTCGAGAACCAGTTAGCAGCACCTGCATGATCGTGGTTGCTCATGTCAACAGCTCTCTCTCCAGAACCAAAAGTCCCACATAACTGCCCTTTCCCACAGGTGCTTCCTTCCCGCCACGTTACTCTGGGTTAGCACTTGATGTCTTAATGTCCCCGTGTCTCATTCACACCCTGAGCTCTCCAGAGCAGAAGTGCAAGTTCTGGAGCTGGGGAGATAAGGGGACACGCTCTGAGGGACACACGACAGCACGTTACAGAAGTGCCACCCGACACTGAGCCTGATCTCGAGAGACAACCAGGAGTGACATACAGGGCTGCTGGAAATGAAGACAGGTGCACTGGAAAACTTTGTGGGGATTTTCACTCAGCTTCAGTTCAGTTCACTATTTCTAGAGGGCAATTTGTTCCTTACCTAGGTAAGCGGTAACCTTGCCAATAAATCTTACTTTTTAAATTTTTTAAAAAATAAATTAATTTTTTTTATGGTGACATTGGTTAACAAAATCCAGTAAGTTTCAGCTGTATAAATCTTATTTTTTTAAATCAGAAGAAAAGCTCCATGGGTCACTGGTCAATTCCCCAAAAAGTAATCAGCAATATATGCTAAACAGAGAAAGGAGGTTGGGGTATAGAATTTGTATAAGGAATTTAAGTATTACGTTCTATTTTGAATATCTCATTCTCTAAGTACTGATCAGGTTTTGCCCAAATTTAAATATCAAGGCAATTCTTAATTACAGAAAACATTGAAGAACAAATGCACTACTTTTTTTTTTCTTTGTAAGTTGGTACAGCTATAGAATTTTGGCTATAATACAAATCACCATTTTGTGTCAATTCAATTTATTCAAGAAAATTTTCATGTTTAGCTTGTATGTTTCCTAATTGCTTAATTAAATTTTTGGAGCCTAGAGGATAAGAGATTCAGAGACTTTTTGAGGAGAAATGTTAGAATTCTATTCTGTTGGCTACAGAACAGTGAGAAATCACATCCTGCTAATATATATTTACTCTGTGGCATTAGGAAAACTGTTGCTAGTTAATAACTACGGTCTTACATTACACTAACATGAGAATGTTTAACTAAAGCAAAGCTGTGTGCTACTTAAAGCTTTTCTTAAAAAATTCACACTAACATGCTCAAATGGACCTGCCATATTCAAGATTCCACCACAGAGATTTCCCTTTTATAATGCAGAGCCAGAAAATAATACAGTTACCTTTCACAACGTATGTCATTTTGTCTTCTTACACTGGCAATTGACACATATAATATAAAAGTAAATTAGACAGGCATTTGGCAAAGTTAGAAGCGTCATTCAAGTACCACCTTCTACCATCAGTATAATTTAATACGTTAAAAAAATCTTTGTTTGAGCTTGGTAATATGTTCAACAATATGTTTTGTAATTAAAGTGGCAAAAGGGAATGAGATCCAAGGCTCTACGATTTCCGGCATTAACTTGTATATTGACATTTTTGAGTAAATAGATGATCTGACTTCATAGGATGTTTGTTAAAAAAATGGAAACTGCTACAGTAAACAAATAAAAGGGGGGACTAGGAATTATACACATTTTAAAGAAGACAAATGATAAATAACAAACTGTTTCGACTGCAAATTTGCACTTCTAGGTATTCCAAGTAATATATTTATATGGATACTTGCAAAACATATAAAATTATTTACACATCGATTTCTTATTCTATTCATTCGAAGCTAGTAGAATTCACTAAAGAAAAACTATATAATCAAGGCCCTTCTAAAAACAAAATTTGAGCATGTGAAGCATGACTTATCTGTCAATATTTAAGTAATGTTCTTACATGGGAACTAAGTTTCTTTTTAAATATGTTAATATTCTGCATCGGAGAATGAGGAATGGAGCTCTAGCAGATGTCAGAAGACCTGGGCATTTCCTCAGGAGCCAAGGACTAAATTGTAATAGCATTTTAAGTCCAAAGAACACCAGTGCCTGTCCCAGGTGTTTTGGTAAATTTTGGATACATTAGTTTTCCAAATGCACAGCACTGACCTGTGTAAACAAACTTTTTAATATGTAACTATGATTTCACTGTCTTCATGTTGAGATTGATTTTAGATCATGTTAAGTTCTCATAAGATGAGGACATAAAAATACCATAAATCTTTCAACAGTATCCCTTAGAGTGTAAACTAAAAGCAGTTCTTATGTCAAGCAACTGTGAATTTGCATTGTTTTATGATAATAAAACAGGTAGAAAGACTTTTTTCTTCCTCCCACCCTCACTCCCTCCATTCCTGTCAAGTAGTTCTAGCTTAATTTAACTATACCTAATGAGATGGCGAAAGACCAAAGATTAAGATACTGCATTAGCATAACAGCCAGGAGTAATAGAAAGGAAAAAGTGATGTACAGAGCAAGAAACATAAAAGCACTTAAAAGTTGATCAGCAGTATTATTTTATAATCATGCAAGTAGACCATTATCCAAATTTCACATTCCTAGTTCTTAAATCAGAAAAGTCGTGCTGGACAGTTCTCAAAGTAGAAATAAACATGGATTTGGCACTTGAAACTCTGATTAAATCTTGTTCAACGGTTAGATTGTAAAAGATTTAAATATAATGATAAAAAAACCAAAACCCTTTCAGTTATGAAAGCAAGCTAGTAAGACTAATGAGAGTCGAACCCTCCATGCTCCAAGGTAACAATGGTTATAATGGTATATATATATATATATATACACATACATACATACACAGGAGCTAATAACTACTCATACGAGTATACTTCATGGATTTTTAAAATTTCATTTAAGTGAATAAGATAATTCTTTCCCAGAAAAGGGATTTTAAGGTTATCGATTTATTACAATAAAAAATAAATACACAATAAATAAATTTTCACTTAGGGCTTAAAAGTTTTTCATAATAAAATAATACAAAGTAAGTTTTTTACATTAGTAAGATTTCTGATTTTGTACTTTTGAACTTGCAAAATTTTTCATTATGGAGAAAAAAAAATCCAACTATTTTTAAGTTCCATGTCACCGTCTGAACTGTACAGGTGTTGGGGGTGGGACAAAGAATTTTACCGTACTGGGGCTTTGTCATCTAGCTATTGTTTAAGCTATATAAGATTGATGAATATCTTTTCCTTTCAGACACTTTCACTGTAATAGCATTTGATAAGGTATAATCTGACCTAATAATCTGTCTCTTTTAGGACTAATTAAAAAGTTAAAGAGGATACTTGGTGAAGAATAAATCTATTTAAGGAGGGAGGAGAAAACAGGCCTTTGGAAATATTAGTTCTGTCGTGCCAGGTATTTTACATTTAATATCTCTTGAAGGCTCTCCCACTACTCTAAATAAAACATTTCAGGCCATTATCCCCATATCTTAAATAAAGCTGCTGACGAAAGGGGAAGATTCAACAAGAATCCAAAAAACAAGGTCATATTATTACCCCCAGAGAGGCCCAGAGAAGCTAAGCAATTTGTCCAAGGCCATCGTGCAGCTAGCTATTCAGTGGGGTGATTGCTGAATTGGACTGACCCCCTGAATCCCTGCTTTTCCTTCTGGACCATGCTGCTTCTTGTAGACTCCAAATACTCTAAGGCAGCCCTTGAAGCTTCAAAGAGCATAAAAGGGTCTCCCTTGGGACAGGGAGATACATATTTTATATATATGTAATTTTCCCCCTGCCATGAGCTTTCTCTTTTAAGCTCTTTCTGGTGTAGCTCTAAGTCCTCGGGCCCAGCTGTATACCACCAGATTAACCCTGGGAGGCCTCAGAAACACCAGACCAGCGGTATGGGCAAGTGCTCGTGAAGTCTGGGGAAGACACCTGGGTATGTGTGAGGCACAAAAGTACTCAATGAGAAAGTCTGTTCAGAGCAAGCTGTAAGACATATCAGCTCCTAAGGTAGGAAGTAAGGTTTATTGCGTGAGCCAGCTGAATTTATCAGGTATTCTTCAAAACGTAAAAATTAAGTCTAATAAAATTATCATGAAAATTCAAAGACTGACTCGAAGAGTTACCGGAAAAAATGTTTGCGGTTGAAATGAAACTGCCTGTACCTTTCCCATACTATGCCAAAAAGCTTTCCGAATGTCATCTCTTAAAAAACACTATGTAGTAATGATGCAAGGACAAAAAGTATTTGAAATAATGGCCAAACGTTTATTTATATGACCACGTCTAAGTATACCACTAATGCTTTTACTTGATGTTCAGAAGTGAGATAAACTATTTAGCATCAGTATTATCAAAAAGATAATAGCACCTAGGATTTTTGATATAGGCCTAGAAATCTCTCACTAAGAGGAATGAAAAAAAAAATGTCCTGAGCACAGCAGAGGGAATGCAGTTAGCATTAATATGATGGCTAGGTGGAGGGCCAGGGGAGGGAGGGAGCAACTGGGGGGATTGTTTTATGAACTATGTAGATGCCTAACCAATATACTATATACTTGAAACTAATTTAAATAAATGAATTTTAAAAAAATGTCCTGGAGGCTACAGTGACGTCATCTTCTCAAATCTGCTTCATTAATGCAGCCACATTAGCATCATAAATGATGACATCAAAAGACTTACTAAAGAAAATTAGCATGCTTCACTTCAACAGCCCACACTCAATCCAACAGTATCCCTCAGCACATTCCCAAATGGAATCGAGTACTCAAAAGAGGTTGATGAAGCCTTCGAAAAAAATCATTACACTTCCAGTGTAGTAATTAACTGAATACTCTCCCTGACTGAAGAGAAGCTAACCGAATCTTGTGAAATGTGAATTTTGGACAACAATTTCAAATTAAAAGAAAGCAAAGCAAACTGTTTCCAACCACCGCATCTTAGAAAGAGACAAAGGTGCAAACATAAAAGGAAGACACCACAGTCCACTAAAAGGAGCCAAAAAATATGCAATAAAGCTGGCAAGAGTCTCTGATGGCCAATCACCTGCGATTTTCATCTAGCACATCCAAGATCTGCTGGTAAGCCCTACGAGTAGAAGACTGGATAAGCGACAAAATGCCACGAGCAGAGGAGAGATTAGCTCCATCTTCAGGTAACATATGGGGAGGACAGACCCGAACCTGTTGTGGCGATGGTGTCACACTGTTTATATAAGCACAGCAAATGAAAACAAAAAAAAAAAAAACAAAAACACTCAAGTCAGATTTTCATAAAACTTCAGCTGAGCAGTTTCCCCACTTATATTTTAAGAATTCTCTTAATTTTCTTGCCCCCTTTCCCTCCCCTCATTTCCCCCAAGAACAATCAAACCAAGTAAGTTAATATATAGTTTTAAAAGACTAGCTACAATGCAGCAGCTGTAACTGAGTAGCCTTAAACATCAAATTAAACAAACAGAATATGAAAGAACTTTGGAGAGGGAAGAGAACTATAACAATGAGTGTGTTCAATCCCTAGCTTCGGAGAAGCAGCATTCTTTATTTGGTATATATATTCCAATTCAGTAAACCAAACCTCCAAAAATCGACACTGCACTGCGATTTATGGATGATCAGAAGAGTGAGAGAGAAAATTCTTGTATATGAGTGTCAAAGTTTAAACACGTGAATCAAAAGTGAGTCCATGAAATGCCATTTCCAATACTTCACGAAGACAAAAGCAAGATGAGTTTACAATGAGTAAATTTAAAGATGAATTAAAGTTTCAGAAAGCTATAACAAGTGTTCTGATTTCTTAATTGTATTAAAGCATATGATCTCTAGGTAAGTAACTAAAACATAAAACTACTCCCGATTCTGGGAATACAGTGAAAGAAGGCAAGGATACCTCTTAAATTATCCAGATGGATGTTAAACAACCATTTCTGGGCTTCTCAGCAACAGTAATCTTACATTCTTTCATGTATGAGCTGAGACTCACAATTTCGTTAGCTCCTGTGCCAGTGCTTCCTAAAAGCTGGAGCCATTTCACACAGGAGCAATTTCACAGTTCTAACCCGAACTCTTAAGATTGGCATTAGTATTTTCGGAGAGTTGTTTAGTATTAGAGCATGATCAGCTGTTTGAAGACTTGGCATCTGGTTTTTCACAGTCAGAGGGTTTGTTACAATAAGACGCTTTGTTATAAAAGGACTAGACCCTGGGATGTGGGTTCAACATTTTTTTCTCAACGTCAGGGCAAAATACCTAGACTACACCTCATCCTTGTGTATTATGCCCAAAAGAATGAAAGTGGAGCAGACAGTGAACAACTGAAAGAAAAAAATCTTTTATTGTGACATATGTAATGTTTTCTAACTTAGCATGTATTTGTTTGGAAACTACAAAATAAGTGGGATAATTTTTGAAAGGGCAGCTGTCATCTAATGTTATTCCCAGAGTCCCAGAAAACTGAAAACAAAATCGCTGCACTTTTGTTAATAACTCTGAATGTCTCAATGAGCCAAAGTGAGACGCACAATAAATATGAAAATCGTGTTTTCCAAAGATGACTCAGAAGAGAGGGATCTAAGTCAAATCTCGGTATACTAGGAAATGAGTCTGTAGGGGCAGAGTCACCATAGGAATTAGGCCTAATGGTGTCGAGATAAATACAAGCTTTCAGATGCAGACTAATGGACAGTTACCCTGAACATCAGTCCAGAGGCCAGGAATCTTCTGGAATGTACATAAGCCAACTTATCAACTGACCCATCGTACTTGGCAAAACCTATATTGGGCAACCAAAAAAGCAGCCTATCTGGACACAAAGTCCAAGCACTAGTCTTACACTCATGGGGAAAATCCAAAGCTCTTGTTTTGTGAGAAACCAGACCGAATTCATGTCAGAGAAGTGTCACAACGGGCAGGAATAAAAATGGCCCGTTCCATGTCAACATAAAGAAATAATACATTTTATAATCTTCTTGACAGAGCTGCCAACATACTGGCTAAATTTACCTAAGTAAGTTATAAAGAGTAATCAGCACAATATCAATGGAGATAATTAAAGTTTTTGTTTTTGCATTTTGGTGCTTAAATTGAACATTTCTGCATCTTACTCTATATCAGTAAATAAATTAAGCTACATACTAAATATGTTAAAGTTTATAATAATATTTAAAATAATCTTATAGCAACAATGTCGATAAACTAAATCCGAATCCATGAAAAAAGTGTGATGGATTTTTTGCCCATTAAAAATTAAAAAAGGGTTACTTTCTGTGAGAAACCACTTTGCCAGAAAAAGCAATAGGAATTGTTTACAGTTCTAAAAGTAGAAGTATTTCCTGTCTATGTACAGGAAATCAAGTGTATTTATAAAGTAATCAAGCTTAAACTAATTTCAAATTAAGTGCAAAGAATTCTTAAGATGGAATGCACAGAAGGCTGGTTTCTAAAATAGTGCATAAGATCTCTTCCAATTCTAAGACTCTATGATCATGTGAAATTGAAATATGGTAATGGAATAAAAACTTACATGATCCTCAATTTTAACTTGAGAAAAAATATTTATGTAGAAAGAAAAGAAAATTAAGTCTTTACCAATACTAGTAAAAATATTTCATCAAAGACCAACATAAAAAATATATTTGGATTTTTGATGGCTTTTCAAAAGATATTAAACTTTTAAAAATTAGGAAGAAATTTAACTTTTTATTAATTTATTCATAAATAGTGAAAACAGAACAGAAAGTCCTTTTTAAACTGATGACACTCTGGACAGCAGTATATGTATAGATTAAATGCCCTTGATTTGTTAATACTTGTTTCTGTCTGTAGATGAACTAAATGATTAAATCGTAAGATGATCAAAATTACCCTAATTAGAAGCAATAAATACTTCAGCAATTTTTTTTTAGCTTTAAGCAGTCTTGCAAGTCTTTTTGTAAATGAATTTAGAATAAAAAAGCCTACGCCCCATTTTGGTAATCAGTTAGCTGGAGTACCCACCATGGGCATCAACTGTGAAGGGAAAACAGTGAGAGCTTTAGAGTTGACTTTGATCTTGGTCTACTCATCCACCTGACTAAGGTGGAACAAATTTTTTTTTTTTGACAAGTGAATTACTGTGAAAAATAAAAAAGCAAACATATTGCAAAGGCACTGAGATTATTTAAGCAACTGTTATATTAGTAATTTAATAAAAATGTTCTTTGATGATAAATTAATCCTAGTAATGTTATAAAATAACAAAATCTCAACTTTTTCTTTTATAAAAGATTAGGAAATTTTTAACAAAGCACAGATGCATACCACGTTACTTCATTAGTAACAGCTCTACCTCATGCTTACATGAAATCTTACATGAGTGTTAAGTAAACACCACCAAGCAACGTCAAAACGCAAATTTAAATAAAAATGTGCTTGGCATTACCGTCATTATTAAGAGTTAAACCCAAAGTCAAATACCTCTTTCCCAAAGGGTTTTTATAGGAACGTTTCTCAAACTGTGAGGATAAACCTCTTTTGTTAAGGCTCCAGGCTCTTCCAAAAAACAAAAACCCAGTAAAGGTAAAATAGTGAAAAAGGGGAGAATTTTCATGGAAACACAAATGTGTATCATTTCTTTTGAAATTTTAAATAGAGAGAAAACTTTAATTTGTTACCGCCACTATCTACAGCAACTTACTGGTTCCTAGAAGCTGATAAGAGAACCAGAGTGAGGAAAACAACCGATTATCAGACACACCAGCTCTCGAGTTCTGATGGTGAACCTGAATCCGCCCCTCCCCTGCCTTGGATTTAAGGATCTCAAAACAGTTTTCCAGGCATAATTTTAATCTACGAAACTAAAAAAAAAAAGTCAGTGACAAACCACACACTATACAGTCTCCTTCTGGGTCAAAATAAAACAAGAAAAGATTTTGTGGTAAATAAAATTTAAAGTAAGACTGAGATCACTGAACCTGGTTAGAGTTGAATCTGTGAGGAACTAACATGTCAGCCGAGGCAAAGTAAAGAAAATGGATAAGGATGCTTGGTCCTTAGTGTAAATTATTCCATTTTACTTTCACCATTACACTCAAAGTCATAATAACTTCCTTAGTTGGTCTAGTTACTTTTCTCCTTAACAAAGTGTATGATGACAGTTTGAGAATCCTGAAACAGGGGTACTAAAAGGCCAAACAGTAAGAGAATTAGTATATTATATGCCAATCACCTGGTGAAATATTAGTAAAACATGAGCCTGCAAAATAAAAACAACTCCTACTTGTGAAAAGCATAGCAGATAAAATCTTACGTGTACTCCGGTGCAGAAATCGGTGCCTGGAACCTTGAAATTTTATTTCTTGGGGCAGAATCTGATCTGTGCCACCTTAAATAATAATTATGCTTCTTTTACATATTCAGCTTTTATAACACATAGAAAAAGCTAGATACGATTCTACTGGTCAGAATTCATATTTGTAACCATAGCTGACCATAATTAATCCTACTGTCTCTTGAAAGTAATTAGGAAAACAAAGGCCAGTGCTCTTACTCTTATATCCATATGTACTTCTATTCTTAAAGCCAAGGAATAAAAGCAAAGGCAGGCAAAGGTTCATGCACATTGACACATAATTTATCTCACATCACAAAGAAAAGACTAAA